TATTTACAGTCACGCAGCGCTGCAACAAAGGATTCGATCTTTTCTTCCGTTTTCCTAGTTTGAAATACCGCAAACGAGACTTGACCGATATGTTCTAATCAGACCAAGTTTCTGTCTTTTCCTGAGTTTTCATAGCCGAGCGCATGCATTTCTATGCCAAAAAGCTCAAGGTTCGGATCATGATTTTGATTTTAGAAGCATGCAAAGGTCAAACTGCCTCAATCTCTTATCAATTTTGCGACATCAACTTTTCACACAACAAACCTTAACAGCCGGAGCAAATAGTAGTGGTGCGACTACGTACAATACCCAAATGTTGACGACAAAGCCGACGATGTTGAAGCTCGCATAGGTAAGAGCCACGTATGTACGGTATCCCTGAAAGTATACAATATCCTTCTGTATCTCAGTTACAAAAGTCACAAAATTTATCTTCATTGGGACCAACGCATGTCGCAGAAATTGTCATACCCAAAGTGAAGGTAACTGGTTAGTAGTACAGTTAATACACACTGCAGTAAAAGCGAAAACATCTCAAAATAAGATGGCAATACTCATGGGAAAATTGGAAAGGAAAGTCAGGGTAAAAAATTTGATTGCGGAAAACTGTGAATTTATATGGAAAAAAGTGAAGGATATAACTGTGAGAGTACTGAATTTTCTTGAGCAAAGTTTCCTGCTGTCGTCTTAAGAACTGATTACAAATCCTTTATTTATTCTGAAAATTTCAGCATTTATTCCCTTTTATACAGATTCGGACATGGGAACGGAAATTTTATCTGCATTTTTCATGCATTGCTAGAAGAAACAGTCTGCCCAAGTAAAACTATACTAATCAAATGCGGCCCAGAAAATCATGGAATGATGACCTCAGAGCTATTTCTTTAAAGGCAACTTCAAAATCATCAGATCCTAATGTGTTATTTACGAGGCCATTCCTTTGGTGCCTACCGTTTTCCAAAGTCTTTTAGACATTTTTATCGAGTCAGAAGCTAGAGTAATGAGCGTCCAAAGAGAACACTCTGTTTGCGCTCTTCTTTTGGCAAAAGCACTTGGCGTTTAGGCTCATGACTAAGTAGGCGGTCATCAGCGGAACCAGGTAAACCCTATGAAATTACCCAATCATCTTTATTTAGATAAAATAGCATCTATAATGGAGGTGCAATAAAGGTATATTGGTGTGAAGTCATACGCTTGGTCTTTCTAGCGGCGTTACGTAGATCGAAACCAGCGCTGCATTGTAAATACACACCTCCTTATGACTTCATTTGTTGGCCCTTGAGTCCATCTTCTTCATAGTGATGTCATTATCATTTTAAACAAGTGTCGAAGTAGTTATTCAATCATTTTAAAACTTCGTTTTATTATCTTTCCTTTCAAAAATCATATGATGAAAAAATAACACACAACACAAAAAATTATATGTTTTTGTTGTAAATAATGACATGCAATTGTAGTTGAAATGAACATCAATAAGTGTGGAATAAACACATGTTTAAGAAGAAGATAACCCCCCTCCGTCTATCGCAAACCCTTTATCGAACAGGCGATTTAACAAAACAGCCGTTACCTGGAATGGCACGTGCCGTTCAAGATGTGTCCATCCTTCAAACTCTCCATCTTCGGACGACATGCTCTACAAAGTGTCATCTGTTAGAAAAATCAAGAAAAACCAACGAATTCGAATCAGAAATAGTTCAATAAAATTCGAAAAGATTGTTAGAATGGAGCGTAGCGAGTCAGCACTTAACACAGTGTTTTTGTCTAATTTCAAAGCAAAAGAAAAACTAGATGAGAAGTGGAAGATTGAAGTTTCTTTTTTTGCATACGCCATTCCGTGAAGACATAAAAGCCATAGGAGAAGTGGCACTGGATTTAGAAAAAAACAGAGATGAAGTTTAACTCCTTTCTCAATAGAGTTAAATCTTTTGATGAAAAACATATATTAGTCAGCATTTTGAAATTGCTGGTCTGAAGCAGCTTTCAAGGAAAACAGCAAATTACGCAGAATATGGAAAAAATGAACATAGTTGTAGATTGATTTTCGTAGTCGCTTACAGGCTTCATATAAGACCCTAAGAGGATTAGTTGCCATGTATGGCTTGATAATCCCCTTCAATCTTCTGTGATAGCCGTAGATTCTTTTTTCAGGAAATGCATATGCATATCTTGAACGCAGCATTCAACCAAATCGACTACATATATGTCTTGAAAGCTCTTTAGCCGATGCGATGATCGCAATAAGATTTGTGTCGTAACTCTCCAAATTTACTTTAGCCAACTGTTTCGTTGTAAACATGTCAGTGATG